CAGGGTGGCACAAAACATTAAAATTAGGGTCGCACTGGTCTGAAAGTAGCAACAAATCAAGCCAAACAAGTCTTGCTCCTTATTGTGCCGGGTGTATGATAGGGCTCAAGGTGTCAAAAACAACTGGACGAAAATTTCAATGGATCAAATTCTCAGTGAAGTTGTGCAGATCAGGGTAAGTACGTGACAATTTTGGTTTTTGAGTAAACAATTCCCAATTTTATTGAAAATGTAAGTTCTTTAGATATTTATTATGTGTTATGTGTTATTATGTGTTATTAACAGTTTAACAACAGTGTACTTTAGCCTTATTTACTGTATTTCATGTATTATTACTTTGAATGAATTCTAGCTTTAATTCTTTTCAGTTTTTGTTATCATAATTTGCATTTTAGCTTAAAATTGATTAAGTTAGGGGGTATTTACATGTTACAGTTTTATTTCCTTCATATTGACCTTATTCTAAAATGCGGAAGTGCGCCTGTTTTCACGATTGTCTTAGAATTTCCGTTTCAGTCGCCTATGGGAGAAATGACAAGGAATAATAAACGGCAAAAAACGGTCAAACTACTTGCTCTACAAACAAATGTTTGCATGACTATACAGACCAAGTAGAATAATATAACAAGGAATTATCAGTTTACAACATCAAACAGCGAAACGAGCAGTTTTTAATGTCTAAAAATGAATGGAAGTGAATGAGACCGGAAGTCTCGTGCTAAAAAGATTCAAATGGCAGCGCCCGCTCGTCTGTAGAGAATAAGGTCAATAGTGCAAATCTAATCTAATGGGTATATTGTATTTTAGCTTTACTTCAGTTAAAATAAGTTTCAACTGGACTGATTTTCAGTTGTTTCAGTTGTAACACTGATTGCTAGTCAGAGGAAACCACAAAAAATGCACATCTAAAATGTACATGGTCTCTTCTGGGAATATAAAACATTGATGACTCATCCTGCACTATTCAGCTATTCATCCAATCAGATCCTCTTTTTAGTACAAATGCCCCTGACACAATACCACATGCGTAGCACCTACAGTAGCAATTATCAAGACTGTGAACAAATTAAGATATCTGGCTTTGAAGAAAAGAGAATTTCTTTAATATGTCCACCCGGTCCAGACTTAGAAAATACATCAATGAAAACGATGCCAGCCAGACAATTTGATTCCACCTTTAAGCTAATGCTGCACGTAATGACAGTGACCTAGATTGCTCTTATGATCCAAAGAGAGAGAAATGTGAGAATGTGAGAGAGATAGGCGAAAGAACGAGTAAAAGAGACAGAGAGATAAAGATGCCTTATCAACAGATAAAAGTGTCTTGATTCACACTCAGCAGGCAGCACCATTCCTCTAATGCAGCATCATTGTAGAATATTGAAGCCTTTCTGCTGGATTGCTCACAGATTACCTTGCGACGCTAAGCAAGGTGCCTTCATTAAAGCAAACCAATCTAAATCCTTTCATGCTAATGTATGCCATGTCCAAGAGCACAATCCACACGTAATGACCACTAAACAAACACTCGCAGCACCGCTGCCGCAAAATTTACATTCTTTTCATATTCAGATCAGCTATTGAAAGAACATCCCGAATTCAAACTCACCAGAACTTCTTCGGCCTCCTGATTCGAAAGGGAGAGCAAGGCATTGTGGATCTGCCAGACTAATTGAGATCCGTCTTCCTTACAGAAGGCTTCAGACAGCCACTTGGCAAAGGCCTACAGACACGGCCTAATTCTGGATCACAGTGTAGGTCCTGTTTTTCTCTGACAAGCTAATGAGTCTTCAATCCTGAAGTATCTTCTTCCTCTCAGACTCAATCAAAGAATCCAAATAAAAATTATACACTCCTATCTTGCATATCTTTTGGAATAATTATCACCATATCCTCACAATTTTTCTAGACTTATGAGTCCAGATGTTGAAAGACAACATGTTTTGAATCTTGTCTGCGCAAAGTCAGAAAAACATAAACAAACTGTAACTCCAGCAATGCAGTAACTGTCCGAGTACAATCATAAAAATGTGGCCAAAGCGTGATGTTAAATTCTTCAATCCCCATCAAAACACTGTTCCATGAATCTGAAAATCTCTCCTTGATTGCTCTGTGCCTTGCGGTGAAGAAGGATGGACGTAGTAGGTCTCTGTTTCAGCAGGCAGTTTGCTGAAGAGGCAAAGACTGATGCAGGCAGGTCCTGAGGTTACACATAGAGGGACGGATGCCGTCGGAGCAGTGAATCTGGATTATCCTGTGGGTTGGTTAGGACTGACCTTCAGGCTGCTGTCCATCTGTGCCTGGCATCCCGAGCAGGCCTTTACAACACACACACACAGACTCAGCCTCACAGACCGGGGCGTGAGAGTGTCGCATGTGCACCTCACCCTCTCTGTCCTGCTAGCACTGCAGAGCTGTCTGCTGTCGCTGTGGCAACAAGGCAGCAGGTCTGCGGCGTGTCCTCTGTGATCCGGACTGCTCTCATCCCAAAACCACTGACCAGATCCAAAACATTTCATCTGTCTGTCCAAACTCTAGACTGCTTTGTGACACTCCGTGCAACAACATAGTCAAACAAACCTACTCTATCAGTCTGTATGTCTGTATGTCTGTGTCAGTCTATCAAGTTGTCTATCCATCACTTTATCTCATATTCTACATCTCCCTGCTGTCTTCCCATGACTCTGGTAATCCATAAAATAAAGTTATACTATATTATTTATTACTATATATTGTATTATTATACTATATACTTAACTATATTATTATTGCTCCTGCAATGTTTTGCTGTGCTGTTTAATGAAGAGATTCCACACTCCACACAGAACCTTCTTGCTGTGAGGCGACAGCACTACCTACTGCGCTACTCCATCGCCCAAAATATATAATTATTTGTATATTTCCACATTCCAAAGCTTTTATCCTAATAAGGCTGAGGACATAAAAGTTCTCAAGAATAAAAAAAGGAAATGAATCGATAGGATCTTATCCTTGCTGTGTTAAACATCTATTGGGAATACATTAATCAAAATGAACAGGAGAGCAATTTTTAATAATTTTTATAATTTTGCCTATCAACCATATAGTTGATCTATCGATTCATCTACATTTAAAAATGTCTGTTTATCCATCTACAAGTCAGTCTATTAATCTTTCTGTGCTGAAATCTTTACATTTTAATTTAGAAACTCACTCACTCATTCATTCATTAATTTTCTTTTTGGCTTAGTCCCTTTAATACAGTTTTTCTCAGTTGCTTTGGTGCATTTCTCACAACACTATTTAAATTTGCACAACAGTTAAAGTATTTCTCAAAACAGCCATTTGTGCACATCATAGTGGCAGTTTCTCATTCCTTCCAACACATTGCAAATGCTTTGGACATGCATCAATTGCTTTCATAAAACTCTGTTGTTTCATAACATTATCATTTGCTTATGTCATGACAGACAAAATTAACTTAACTTGCTGAATTGTCATTCCATATAAAACTAATAGTCCTCATTTTATAACTTGAGTCATTACTGTACGTCCAAAATGTTGAAGTGGTTGTCAAAATATGTCAAGCTAATTTTATTCATTTTTTTTCTGAAAATGTCTTCTAAATTAAACAATTTCATAAATCATTTAAAGATCTGTGTATGCTGTAGGTTCAGTTCCAATATGCACTGCAATATTGTTTACAGTTGTGCACAGCTCTACCCAAAGGAAGTTTCTGTTTGTTTTAAATAAGGGTGTATGTATTCGTTTGCACAATGCTGTGAATAAATTAGAATTGCAAAGAGCAAATGCAGTAAACATGTGAAACATATATATTCAGTGTCTTGTACTCAGATACCTCACTAAATACAGTAATATATAACTTGACTGTAGTTTTCAAATGGATGTGTAAATAGTGTGTAGTGCTGTCTTCAGCATTTTCAGGAAGTGTCACCAAAATCTGACTTTTTTGCATTGAAAAAAATTAACAAAGTAGACTGTCATAATGAAAACATGACAAAGCCATTTGACTATCTTGTTCATAAACAATGGTGTCAGGACTTTTCATCTTGATGACACTGACACTTTGATTTACATGAATACTTGCTTTTGAGGAATGAGCTATTCATTTTAAGCATGTGCCATGCTTTTGCAAGTTATCAACTATGTTTTGCAGTTTGTAATTGTTTTAAGAAATACATTAACTGTTGTGCAAATGTAAATAGTGTTGTGAGAAATGCACCAAAGCCACTGAGAAAAACTGTAACCAGGGGTTGCCTAAGCAGAATGAACAGCCAATTTATCCAGCATATGTTTTACACAGTGAAAGTCCTTCCAGTTGCAACCCATCACTGGGAAACACCTATACTCTCTCATTCACACACATATACTACGGACAATTTAGCTTACTCAATTCACCTATATATAGCGCTTGTGTTTGGACTGTGGGGGAAACCAGAGCACCAAGAGGAAACCCACGTGAACACCAGGAGAACATGCAAACATCAAACAGAATGCCAACTTAACCAGTGACCTTCTTGCTGTGAGACGACAGCGCTACCCACTGCGCCACTACGCCGCACCTAATTTAGGAAATTTTAAAAGTATATTAACATGTTGCAAATAAAAGTTATTTTAATGATTTTTATAAATTTATTCATTTATTTTGTATATCAATACTATGTAATACTGGTTCAAACTCAGTAATCAGACCAATTTAAAATTCATCGTAATTTAACTCTGAATGCTGCAACCCTGCAGCAGTGAACAGAAGAGTTATTTAAATCAGCAGCATAAAATTGCCAATGAGCTAGATATGTGCTACGAAGGAAAACGCAGCTGCAACACTAAAGTGCCTTTGAATGGTTTCCTTCTAAGTCACTTAAAGCAGACAGAAAATTGTCTTTCCTCTGTAGCTGTGTCCAGGTTGATACCCTTGAGCAAAACAGCATAAAAGCTTGTGGTTTCTGGAACAGCTCTTTCAGGCTGTGGCTAAGTTAAATGAAAAAGACAGTGCTTACCACAAACTCCTGGCTCTGGAAAATGTCTTGTCAACTCTGAAAGAACAAAAATACAGTTTTAGTTAAAGACAATATCTTGCACCTGTCTTCTCATTACATAGAACAGCTGGTGGTACACATCACTTACGGTGTATCTGGTTTGTGTTAAGTTGAAAATTGTTAAAGATTTAACAACACGGCATTGTGAATAGGTTACCAAAAATATACACTAGGGCTGAGCGATTTGGCCTAAAATCAAAATCTCGATTAATTGAACATTTTAACTCGATTACAATTAATGAATGATTATTTTATTTATTTATTTTATATATCTGCCCTCATAGTTCACGGACAAGTTTTGTACAGTAAATATGCCCACATATTACAAGAGATTTCTGAATGAAGGGTGCATTACTTGACTTTAAAATAATTGAAGGAAACACATCTATCTATGATTATTCATTGAACATCAACATTGAACAACTGAAATTAAGACACACGCTACCTAAAACGAATAGTCACATTTTTCTAATACAAAAAGTGAAAATAAATAACTTGCACTTCACTTTTGGAAACAAAATAAATAATTGTTCATATTAAAAGTAGAAAAGAAGCAGAATCTTTTCTAAATAAAATAACTCTTGTACATCCTGGAAAAAATACTCAAGGCGCAGCTTCAAATCAGCATCAATGTAATGCAAAGTAAGACTCAGGTATAGGTCCATCGTCCTACTGGACCAGAGATCAGATGTGGCGGCAAAGTGGCTGTGGAAGTATAAACAAGCCTTTAAAAAATGTTTAACAGAGAGCGGGGTCACGTGATTCCACATCACTGAAAAAAATGCTGTCTGCAAAATTTTTTAAAAACAATTTATGTGTTGAATTTAAACATACAATTTATTAATGTTTAACTTTATTTGCTTGTTTAAATTCAGCCCAAATAAATTGTTTACAACCACCTAACTTAAAAAAAAAGTAAATCCAAGGAATCTTTGAATAATTATTTTGACAGTAGAGAAAGTAATCATAAAAAATTTGTGAATTGTGAATATGTTGCAAAACAGAAAGAAAGAAAGAAATCTCCATATAGAAGTGTTTTAGATTTCCCATTAGCAATAGCCTACTTGGAATGATATTTATTACTGATGTTTTATTCATTTCTGTCCACCATTTCCATGTAGAGTAAAATGGCATTTATTGATTTCCTTTTTCACATGAATAAATAAATGATGCAAGTGATTTGTTTCTGAAGTGGGCCATTTTTCAACATTTGACACCAACATTAAATGCTGTGAAAATCCCATTAAAACAGCGAGCAGTGACCGACAAAATATATTAATATTTTAATAAATTCAGTTTTGCCTTACACTATGTAACAAATATGGCAACACAAATTTGTGTGGCTCCATGTGTTCGTGTGGGTTTCCTCCCGGGTGCTCCGGTTTCCCACACAAGTCCAAAGACATGCTATATAGGTAAATTGGGTAAGCTAAATTGTCGGTAGTGTATGTGTGTGAATGAGAGTGTATAGGTGTTTCCCAGTGATGGGCTACAGCTGGAAAGGGCATCCGCTGCGTAAAACATATGTTGGATAAATTGGCAGTTTTTTCCGCTGTGGCAATCCCTGATAAATAAAGGGACTAAGCTGAAGGAAAATGAATGAATGAATGAATGAATGAATGAATGAATGAATGAATGAATGAAATCTGCGTGTGGAAAATGATTTAGAAAGTTGATTTAGAAATAATCCTGGCCACCAGCAGATGGAGTTGTGATTCAACACTCACTTGTCAACCTAAGAATTTTACAGTAAAACTGCAATTCTTGCAGATACACACATGATTACACCACTTGGTGTGTGATACTGTACAACAGAAAGCTGAAGAAAACTGTTGTTCAATCAAAACAATCTCAAACATCTTAGTTATTACTCCTCTCAGTTATTCTCTACATGTTTCCCCTGCTGCTGTTTAGATACTCTCATATTTCCAGAGCGGTTTAAGTTCAGTCAGACAGTCTGCAGCTTTATGGCAATCCATCTTTCCAGGAACATCCTGTCATGGATCAAGCGGCATACTATCAGGATTCAAACTACAGACTAACATCTGTGGTATTCCTGACCTAGAGCCAGAAATAGACGCAGAGATGTTCCTCTTCGACACTAAAAGAATGTAAATGGACTGAAAGCATCACTTGTGTGTGTGTGTGTGTGTGTGTGTGTGTGTGTGTGCGTGTGTGTGTGTGCGCGTGTGTGTGTGTGTGTGCTTTGCTGGCAGCTGGACTTTAAATTCACTATCCCGCTTCACCTCCTCATAGAGGACAATTGGTGTCACGGATGTTGATTTTTCTTTGACAGCCTTTCGTTTCAAATAAGACAGCTGATGTTAAATGCACCACCCCAGAGTCAAGTACATATTTCCACAAAGGTACGGTGCTAAAATAAACTACATTACCAGGTTATTTATAGTATAACCTCACCTCAGGTCCATACATGTTTGATGTTACTGAGAAAGCAGAGGCAATGTTGGGTTTCAAAAGGAGGGGTCATTGTTTCAAAGTATTTTGTTCTTTGTGAATGTGTGGCTTTATAGTCTTTAAACATTGCTGCACTAGCACTAAAATTAAATACGATACTAACTGCAAAAACTCTTTTTATTTATATTGTAGGGATAGAAAAACATCAAATAATTCTTAATGTATTTACTGCAGCTTTATAGTATCATTTTAATTAAACTTCATTTACTTTAATTCTATTAATGTTGTATACTTAATTCTAATTCCAAACTATTAAGCACATCTCTAGTTTGCTTTTGGTATTATTTTGTCTGACTTTGATGAACTAAATAAAAGAAATGTATTTGACTAAAGTTAAAGTATTTTTTTTTAAATGCATGTTTACTGCGAACACTTAAATGAGCACAATCAAACAATATTTCAAGACACATTTGAATCTTAGTTATGACCTTAAGTGACATATAATTTACATACTCTATTGTCAGATGTACTAATTATTATACATGGTACTCAAATTTTGTTAAATTATAAAAAGAAAAGTAGCATTAAACTAAAAAGAATTAAACTAAAAAAAATAATAAAAATGAAAAGACTTTACATCCGGGGTGAGAACGCATGCCATAATATAATTACTTGCAGAATAATCTCAAATGACCATCTTTATTATACATAACACGCAATACTATACAGTATATATTTACTTTAATTTTCATATTACAAGTCAGTGATTTTTGAATGAAGGGTGAACATTAATGCTGAACAACTGAAATTAAAACACATTTCCTACAAGAAACTCACTTTTTTCCTATAAAAATATAATGAAAATAACGAACTTGCACTTTTGGAAACAAAATTATTTATTTATTATTATTCATTTATTATTATTATTATTATTTATTTTATTATAATTTAAAAAATGTTTAATGTTTTTTTTTTTATTAAAAATGGAAAATCAGCAGTATCTCTTCTAAATAATGCAACTCATGCATATCCTGTAAATAATATTTTAAACAGTGTATTTCTTGAATGCTTTGCAAACAATTTTATTGTAAATAATAATTTTATTGTAATGGAAAATATGCCATCTCAGGGTATTTCTGACACAGCTTCCAATCATTGTCAATGTAGTGCAAACATGCAGTTTTTTTTTTTAAGATGCACAGGTATGCAACCGCACAAAGCCTGCATCATACGCGAGCTCAATGCAGAAGTATAAATCATCCATAGCAGAGCAGGGTCACATGACTCCACACAGCAGGGAAAACAATTGATAAAAAAAATTAATAACCAAGCCCTAATACGTATCAAACAACATTAGCATATAGTTATCTACCAGTTAAGCTATTCTATTTGTTTATAGCAACAAAATCAGGCTTCTAACTGAAATATAGTCAACACATTTCCTACATTCTAAATCCTTCTTTAACTTAGAAGTGAATTTTTACATTGTGTCTCGATAGTTGCATCTATTCAATTATTTAAGGTTGGTTGCTCCTGCTGTAGCCATTTGTGTGTGTGATTGCTTTTTTTTGGGAGCCATGAAAGCACACATCAGGTATTTCATCACCTTGGAATTATAAGTTTCTATCTGCATTCTGAATGATTCTGAGATATTGAGCTTCAAAGCTGTGTGAATAATTTTGAGTGTCCAGAAAAGCACTATATAAATTTAAGGAATTATTATTATCTAAAATATACTATAAAAGTATTTTCAGGAAAAGTAGCTAACTTTAAGTGCAACATTATTCATGTGTACTACGACTATGCTATAAACATTTCCAAAAAAAAAAAAAAAAAAAAAACAGTTTTCGTTCCCCGTTCCATTTCGTTTCTTTTTTATTTACTTTTAAAACAGCTACTAAATTAAAAAAGTAAACAAAACTATAAGCCAAATATATGTCAATTGAAATTCTAAGTAGATGTATAGGGCAAAATTGGGCCTTTTTTCTCAGAATAAGTTTACTTTAAGTTATAATTTAGCCATACATGAAAATACAGTTTAAAGCTGGTTCACAAATAGTTCATTTAATACATTTAGTTATTCTATTGTACGAGGTGTCACACATCTGTACTTGATAACACTCGTGATTTCCCATTTAAAATGAATAATAATCAGTCACAAGATAGTAGTTGCAGTTTTCATGATGCCAGGCGGTCTAAAAACAGCAGTGTTTTGTTCATGAGAAAGAGTCTCGCACCAATAATGTCTCACAGCTTCAATTCATTCACAGCTTCATTCTGACTCATAGCTTGTTTTATTTTTTTGTCTGGTATTCTTTGTGTATTACAAAGAGAGACAAAAGGCAGCTTTCTTAATCCAAGTCATTTGCAAAGTCTTATAAAAGATCCATCACTCAGTTAAAGAGAAGCTTTGTTTAACAGCTTCGTTATTAGAACAAAAGTGAAGGCTGATAACAGTTCAGTAGGTTCAGTAATTAACCCACTGAAACCATTTTTTTTTTCTCTACTGAATGTAGGTGACCCAGAGTACAGCAAAGACCTTGACTCAAATCTGTTGCCTTTAGGCATCAAGCCTAAGGTAAGCAG